AAGAGCAGCCTTGTGGAGGTGCAGAAGGATGCCTGTACCAACAACCCCTTGGCTGGAGGATCTGGACGTGAGTCGCACTCACTTACTATTCCCGGACATAAGCACTGYCTGTGACCTGCCCCGCTGGAGGTTTCTGGGGCTTGGTGAAAGCCTTGGGCTCTACCTGAACATAGCCCATTTGCTACCTGACAAAAGACAGATTTGCRMCCCTTTCCTTCCTTCTTGATCATCCTTCTTTAGCATACAAAGCCAGCTGCTTCTCCTCTGCCCCGTTTGAAGGCTACATGGTGTATAGCACATAGGCCTCCGCCAGCTCCATGCATCCCATGTTGTAGCAGAGCTGCATGACACAAGGCTTCTTCAAAACAGTCCCCAGGGCTCCGAATGAACACACACCACCTCTCAAGTCCCTGGCTCATTGAGGGCCAAGGGCCTGGACTGCGTTTGGCTGCAGGGCAGAGGGCTCACAGAAGCAGCTGYGCAGAGCAGCCACYCRGGCCTCCAAAAGCCASAAACAGCCCCGCAAGCACCCCCAGGAAGGCGTCCTCCTCCTCCTCCCACCAGCAGCGCCCTCACATCCTGCCTGTGCCTTTACCTCTCCTTTCAGGCTCAGCAAGGTGGCTTCTTCGAAGCAGGCAAGCCCCTTGCCTCCCTGAGCCACTGAGCTCCTCAGGAGCTCTTCTCATGGAGGTCCCCGGGGCTGGACCAATGCCATGGGTGCCCCGACAGCTCCATGTGTACAGAGGTCTGTATGCTCCCCCTAGCACCACGCAGATGAAGGCTCCGGGAGTCACAAGGGGGCCAGTGTGGTACCGCTGAGCCAGTGTGCACCGAGGAGCTTGGGGTCTGCTTAGAGGCCCRTAAGCCCGTAGCAGCAGCTCTGCATATGCAGAGGCCCCGGTGTGCTGCACAAAGACCCATAGGGCCCCTCCATCCCCGTGGAGGCCTCTCGATGCCCTGACCCCTGTGTATGGAGCCTCCATGAGCACAGAGGCCCGTAGGGCATCCCCAACCCCATGAACATGGAAGCTCTGTGGGGAGCTGCACAGAGGCCTGTAGTGCCCCCCATCACTGTACTCACAAAGACCCCCTGGGGACTCACGAAGGCCCATTGGGCGCCCCCAACCCATTCGCACAAAGGCCGCAGGAGTCCATACGGACAGCCATAGGTCCCCACTGGATCCCGGCACTCAGAGTCCCTGGAGTTGCCTGTCGAGGACCACAGTGCTCCCCTGGCCCCATATGCATAGAGGCCCTTAGTGGCCATGCAGAGGCCTGTAGGGCCACCCTGGCTACGTGCACTCAGGGGTCATCATGGAGCTCCCAAGGACTCCCCCTTCCATCTGGTGTTCACAAATACTTAAGGAAGCCGCATGAAGGTCCATAGGCCCCCACACCCCTTGCTCGCAGAGACCCCGGGGACCACACCGAGGCCTGTAGGGACGCCTCAGCACCAGATACATAGAGGCTTGGGAGGTCTTACAGAGAACCTTAGGCCTGAATCACAGTTGCACAGAGCCGTGCAGGGTCCCCCAGGTCCCATGCACATGGAGACGCTGGGGTACCAAGCAGAGGCCTGGAGTGCTCCCCTGATCTTGTGCACACAGAGGCCCCAGGAGGCTGCCCTGAATCCTGTAGGGCCCACTCACCCCTTGCACACGAAGGCAATGGGAGGCCACACAGAGGCCCGTAGAACCCCCAGCTGCCAATCGCACGGAGGCCCAGGAGTCTCAAAGAGGCCTCTTAGGGCATCCCCATCCCCATGTGCATAGAGGCTCCAGGGGGCCACACCAAGTCCTCCAGGGCCCCCAAGGCCCATCCATATGGAGACCTCGGCAGGCTTCATGGAGGCACATACARCCTCCCCAGCTTGTGGTCATGGAGGTCCCAGGGAGCTGCATAGTGGCGCATAGGCTCCCCTGCCCAGACCTGTGCACAGGAGGGGCCTAAAGAGCCTAGGGAGAATGCTAGGGCCCCTCTGGCCCCATGCGCACGGAGGCTGTGAGGGGCTGCATGGAACCCCTTGGGCTACCAAGGCCAATGCGCACGGAGGCCCTGGAGGGCCGTTAAGAGAACCCTAGGGCCCCACTGGCTCCTTGTGCATGGAAGCCTCAGGGGCCACACAGAGCCCCGTAGGACCCTCCCAGCCCGGAACACATGGAGGTCCCAACGATGGCATGGAGGGTCATAAAGCCACCCGGACCCGCGTGCACAAAGGCCCCATGAAGCCACATAGAGGCCTGTATTCCTCCAGCCTTCCGTGTGCACGGAGGCCCGAGGGGCCACGTGGAGGCCCATGCCATGGAAGAACTTTKAAGTGTGGAAATATTTGCTTTCTGTATTTCCATAATGTTGTCAGGGAGTCGGTTTAATCATTGCCATAAATATTATGCAGACATTGGTTGAGTTCAGCAGCATAGGCTGCTTGTGTTGTTTGTGGTTTTATTTTTAATTTTGCCCTCATTTTGAAAGTTGTGAATGTTTGCCCCAAATGACAAGCACGGAAGAAAAAAAAAAGCTTGTTTGGGATTTTCACAAGAAAAGCAAATGTTGACATTGTTTGCACACCTCTAGCTTTGACTTATATAGAAATTAATATGATGATCTCATTTGCTTAATGAGATTTGCTTAAAATGAACTAGGAAAAAAAATGAGAGAATGGATAGGACTCAGTCACACTCTGAAGGCTTTTTTTTTCTTCCACAATGTCGTTATTTATTTTAAAATAAAAGTTTTGTTTCAGAAATAAACAGATGTAAACAGATTTTTTTTTTCTCTTTAAAAGGTTATAAAAATATATCCATACTGGAACAGTTGTGGTAGATGACGCGTAGAGGGATGTGCTCATGCAGCATTCAATTGCCGCTGCATAACTTGGCTATGCATTACAAACTCAGAAAACTGTTAGCGAGATAGCTTTTTAAATAGTCATTTCCTTAAAGATGTTAACATAACGTGATTAATGCTCTGCCAGTTCTACATCATTGCTATGAAATGTAGAGAGAGGAAAAGAAAATAGTGTAGAGCAATGATAGGGAGGAAGGGGATGAAGCAACCAAATTGGTTCTTGCTCTTATCTTGCACAAAAGCATGTTTTGAGTTGGCCCCTTGTGATGCTGGACTCCAGCAGGCAGTTTTCTTGTCTAGCCCAGTGTTTGTTATCGTTATAACCTGTATGAACCACTTCACACTAGTGCTTAGCTTTGCAGCAGGAACTTAGCTCAGTCTGCAGTGGGAGATAAACTGAGCAATAGCCCCAGCTGTTCAGTTAGATCAGGCTAGTGAGTAAAATTTTACCATCTGTAGAAAAAAAAAAGGGGCAATTGTCCTGAGTTTTGTTGGCATGTGATTGACAATGTAAAGAAACAAATCTTTGGTTGGAATTTGAAATAGCAACCTGCTCTTCCTTTGTTTAAACCCCTTCTCCAAGTTCATTGCCCCAGATCCCCCAAGAGAGGACAAGGCAYGTGGAAGGAAGGAGACAGGCTGTGATTCTAGGCATTGGGATGAGTGACTGTGCCTCAGCTGAGCCCTCAGTGAGGACAGATCAACAAGGCACCATTGGTAGGAGACCCAGTCAACATAAAGGCCTGGTTGCTGTAAGGAGCACTAAAATGCAGCTTTACTTGAGTGTTCTTGATTTGTGTCTTACTCAACTCTAGGCCTTCGCAAGGCCTTAGCCTATGCTGTTTAGATGGAAATAAACCCTGCTCCTTTTCTAGCAGGCGTCCTTTCCTACAGCTGCTCACTTTTCTAGCGTGATTGTAGGCACCAGGGGCTGACATCTGGAGCTGATTCTTGTGTTATTAAATGCTTTAACCTGCACTTACCCCAGATTTTCCTTGAGTTAGTGGCTCCAGCTTAAAACTTGTGCAGACATTTAGCATGCAGGAGCAACACAGGGATTATAGGACTTGTATTTCTCTTCATGGAGCTCAGGAAGCCCAATAAGAAATCAACCTGCTTAGTTGAGGGCTTCTAGTGTTAATGACAGAGATTTCATCTTTACCAGCTACCATCAGCTCTGTCCTAGCCATCCTTAGACCAGATCAGGGCACCAGCTGCCTGGCAAGAAGGCAAAGGTGTCCATAGTGAGCAGTGACCTGGTTGCTCTGTCGTTTGACATAAATACCTATATTAATGTCTACATTCATCAGTAAATTTAGCTGGGGAGGCGCAGGCCAAAACAGGGAAAGAAAGTTGGGAGGCAGCCAGGCTGCAAAAACTTATGGTCCCTGGGCTCAGTGTAGTGTGCACTGATGCAMCCTGGCAAAGTCCAGGTGGGCATCAGACAGTGTCTCATCCACACGCTCCTGCCCTGGTCCTGAGGACACACCCAGCCTCTCTGTGTGCAGCAGAAAAGAGCAGTAATGACTCTCATGGTTTCTGCCCTGTGCACGGAGAGAGGTTCCTGTCGCATAGCACCAAAGCAAATGCATCAACCTCAAGAGATTTTTTGTAGCCTTGTATTCTCTGACACAAGAGTCATACCACATGATTCCCCTGTCTAGTCAACTATTTAGGTGCGGACAATCTGAGATAATTTTTAATTGATGTGTGAGGATTTTTGAATTGCAGGTTTGTTTGAACTTGCTATGTTTAGGATCAGGTCTTCCTGTGGTGCAGGTCAGTCTGTACAAGTGGAATTTTATCAGGAAAAACTGGCCATACCCAGAACTATCACAAGCTACGACTGTTCATCAATCCTGATTTTCCTTTTGGAAGCCTGACTTCAAAGTGTGGACGTTAAGGGATTCGACCTCCCACTGGATATTCTCAATCAAAGGTAGAGAAATAGTGTAGGTGATGGCAATTGTGACACTGGTGTGCTTGGGTGTTAGCAAACAGAGGAGGTACAAAAGAGCTACTGAGCTGAAATATCTTTCTGGTGTAATGCTAATGTTCTGCACTCTGCTCCAAGGACAGTGTTTGCAGACAGAAACGCTACCTGCCAAGTACTTCCCCCTCTTGCCCCCTGCACAGTGGCAATAGTGTCCTCATGTGCAATTAGCAGCTGGAAATGTCAGTTCTCCCTGCCCTTTGGAAGGCAGCATGCAATTTGTTACCTGCAAGGCTGGAAGAGCTGGATTCCCTTCTACATGTCAAACTCTTCCCAGCAAGGTGAGAAAAAACAAGTAGAAAAGAAATAGCACTGGGGTGTTATAAAGTGAGCGTTGCACTTGTTTGTGTCTCTGTCTGGCCTGGGCAGCCGGGAGGGGACACCCAGCCCTTCCCCAGAGCAGCCCTCGCCTAGGGTTTGGTGTATGGGCGGCAGCCTCCCTTCTCGATGGTCTGGACCGGATGGATCGGGAGGACCAGGTGGGAGATGCGACTCCACAGCCCGCTCAGCTTGTCAGTGTCCATGTGGTTGTGGGAGCTAGGGGCACCATCRTCAGTGAACTTGGCCCAGAGGAAGTCCCTGACTCTCTCCTCCACCTGAGGGAGGCTGATGTGGGTCTCCAGCGTCTCCTCCTCCAGCAACACAGTCAGCAGCAGGGCCACATCCTTGAACGCTGCGCTTTCATGGTCACAGTACTTGTAGAAGATGAGGGTGGCCCCTGGGGGCAGCAACTCGAAGCGGTGTATCACTGCAGCACGGCCCCCCGCCTGGAAAGCTGAGCTCAGCTCTTTGTCCACCTCCAGCTTGGCATGGTCGCTCTGGAGCCCGAATTTATCCGTGCCATGGATGTGGACTGTGCTGGCATGCAAGGCGGCTGCGTAGGTGTCAGCCACATGGGCTGAAAGGCACTGCAAGGTCCTCTTGCCCTCGCGTGCGGCYGTGAACATGATGATGGCTGGTTCGGTGTGGTGAGACGCATTGAGGTGCTTCTGCAGGAACTTGCGCCCCCGAAGCCACAGGTGGGGGTTCTGCCCTGGGAACYTGTTCTGCAGCTCATTGAACTGGGAGAGGAAGGCCTCCACTATGGGATTTGTGGGGACTTGCTGGGACTTGGAGGCCAGGATGCCGAAGCGGAAGATGACAATGATGAACAGTACGGAGAGCACGAGGACAAGCCCTGTTTAAGCGGGAGAAATCCGAGACAAGGAACAGAAGTCGGTTGGAAGGGGTCAGCAGTGATGTGCTGGAAGCAGCTATGASGGATCTGCTTCCCCTCCCCAACCTCCCCCTACCACTCATAGGCAGTTCATTTTGACGTGTTTTAGGGTCCCAGGGCCTGCAGAGACGTCTTGCCACATGTTGCGGGACATGCACACCAGCCTGGGAGCTATAGCTCCACAAACGGAGTCAAGGCTACAGCTCTGGAGTCCCAGGACACAATTCCTGAAGAGATTAGTGCTGGTCACAAGCTGCTTTCCTTCCAACTTTAAGGTTTGCTTTAAGTTTTGTGAGTTTTCACTGCATCTGCCTCCATGTATGGAGGTGGCTGAGCCAGCAGAAGCTGGCTCATTTATGGCCTTCCTTATGGCCTTCCTCCTAGCTATGCTAGTGATAACTGTGCTCCTGTGCAGAAAAGGAGGACGTCGAGGACCAGGCCACAGCTGCTCTTTGCTCCCCACAGCAAAGTGAGATCTCTGTGGGTCACAGCTCTGCCAGCAGAACAGTGGGGTGCACCTTAGCCCCATGACTTCTCCTTGATGTCTTGTGACCCAAAGAGGGGCTGGGCAAACGAGGCCCTTCAGCCTAGCCTTCAAGGACAAGTTAGTACTGCATCAAAACCAGAGAGCTGCAGTGTTGTCCCTGTTCACAAATAGCCTCCAACTGGGCCTATTTTTAAGGCTATGGTTTGTTTTTCCCTTAGAAACTGTTTCCCTAAAATGCCATGGACAGCAATTCCCACAAACCCTCAGAAAAGACTGTGAAGGATCCTGAGAGAGAAGAATAATTAAATGTGCTTCTTTACTTGTTCGTGGAGGATCASTGCCTTCTGGTCGATGAGTAACCCGCAAGGGAAGCTTCTGTTCCTCACCTTTCAGCAAGAAGGACATTTTAGCCATCTCCTGCTTGGTGTTTTGKGGGGTGACATTCTGCAGGCAGGACTGAGCCTCTGACTTTTGTGTTGTGTGTCCTAAGTGAGAGAAGGAAATTTGTCACTCACTGCTGAGGGAAGAGGCAAGCAGAGCTGCAATAAGAAGGGCAACGGGCAGCTCCCAGCTGAGCRAGTTGAAAAGAACAGTGCTACTGCTTGGACCATTGGCTCTTCCTGCTTTCTGAGCAAGGAAAGAGGAAGAAACATGCAGAGCCAAGCATGGTTTCATGCCTTTCAAAGCAGGACAGCAAAGGGGAGAGAGACAAGCCTGTTAACTTTGTGCTGAAAAGCAAATACCTCCTTTCCTGTTTGACTCTGGAAAACTGACAGCAGGTGCTGGAGATGTCCTGATTACATTTTTCCGATGCCTCTGTGAAGTGTAGGCATCTGCAGAGAGCAGCAGCAGCCGCGTGCAACTGTAACTCACCTTCCGTCCCACGTCTGTTCCTTAGCRTGCCATGGGATTTGCTCTCTGGAGTTTCTTGCTCTCTATGCTCTGGTCCCTCATCTAGGAGAGGGGCACTGGTGCTYTCCTCTGCCAAGAGGCCACTGGTGACACCTTCTGTGGCAGTCAGACCTGAATATCTTCTTTCACTGTTGGAGTGTATTGACTTGTCTATGGAAAAATCATCTTCCTTTGGCCTGTGGGAGCTCTTGTGTTGCCTGTCTGTCTCCTGTTGCCCATCTGTTTCCTGTTGGACAGGGCTCTCTCCTTTGCTCTCTGTTTTATCTTGGACTAGCCTGCCTGTAAGGAATAAAATTCAAAGAGCTAAGCTCAGTTTCAGCACAAGAAACAATAACCCTTCCTCCTGTTTTAACTCCTCTCAGCAAAGGCCCTGATAATCAGCATTTCGGAAATACCATACAAACATGCAGATGGGGAGAGGACTGACCTCCATCCATGTCATCTTCTGCCTGGGGTATTTCTGAGGCACCATCTCCTGTCTTCTCAGATTCTTCCAATGTCTCTTTGGTTTCTTGCAGGACCTTCTCTCTGGTAGGGCCAGCCAGCCCTGAGTCTGTCACCTCATCCTCATCAGTAGTTGATGATTCGCCCACTGAAGCATCCTTCTCTGGTTTGCAGGAGGGGCCCGGACAGCTGCTTGTCACTTGGTGACCAAGTGTTTCTGGAGGGGTCTCTTCATGGGCAGGATGCTCTGCTTTGCTCTCCACCTCACTCTGGGCTGCCTTTGCTGTTGGAATCAGAGTTCACAGCTCAGCTATGGATAGAACATCAGGAAAACCCACCTCTTTACCACTATGCAGCAAAACTCCCAGTCTTTGCATTTCAGGTTCATCTACAGGGAAACTGCCAAGAAGAGAATTTACCATGACCATCATCACCAATGAATCGTGCTGCCTCATGCTTTCAAAAAAGATTGATGGGGTCTCTGTATTTGATCRCAATCCTGGCCATATAATGAGTAATCACTTATAGGGATGCACTCCTCTATCCATGCTACAACCTGTCCAAGGTTGGGCATAAGCTGGAGCACAGGAAGTTCCATCTCCAGGTGAGGAGGAACTTCTTTACTGTKAGGGTGACAGAGCCCTGGMACAGGCTGCCCAGGGAGGTTGTGGAGTCTCCTTCTCTGGAGGTCTTCMAAACCCGCCTGGATGCCACCCTGTGCCCCGTGCTCTAGGTGTGCCTGCTCGAGCGGGAAGGTTGGACTAGATGATCTCTAGAGGTCCCTTCCAACCTTGAATATTCCGYGATTCTGTAATGTGAAATGCTTTTAGTGCACAAACCCCATTAACATTATACTACAATGTTTTTAAATAATGGGATGTGTCACAATATCTTCTACAGATAGTTGTTTGCCTATATTGGTAAATAAAAATGGATTTAAAGCATTTCTATCTGGATATTGGACAGAATAGTTAATGTCAATTTGAGCATTTGTCTGAAAAATAAAATAAAATAAAATAAAATAAAATAAAATAAAAATAAAATAAAATAAAATAAAATAAAATAAAATAAAATAAAATAAAATAAAATAAAATAAAATAAAATAAAATAAAATAAAATAAAAGTTAGCTCTTCTTGCGCTCTTCCTCTGTTTCTGTTCTGGAGTGGTTCTGCCAAACACGATCAAGCATTGTAGAAACAGCAAATTAAAAGCAAATTACCAGAGGGCAATTAAATGGAGGTCCTGGAACTGAACACAAGCATTTGCAACATATTCTGAATCTTACAAAACTAAACAGTGCAGCTCCTATCTCTGACACTCCGTAAAAAGTTAATTGTGAATGATCTTATGGATCAAGCACTACAGTGACAGAAATGATGATGCTGAAATTAGAATAAAGACTGATTAAAGGTGACAGGGAAGTCCCCACTATTTTGAAAACAGAAAACTTAACTGCACTTGCTTCATGTCAAGGGATGCTGTCATTCAGAGCATGATTGTGTTCATTCTTGTTGACTATCATGGGAACATTTCCAAATGAAGAGGACAGGTCTCATCTGATTATTGCATCTCGGTATCACTGAAATAGCCACCTGCAGCAGCATTAACAAGGCACCAGGAGAACGCAGGTACATGCCAGATGCTGAAATATGAGGAGCCTGAGAGGCTGGACRCAAACAATGCCGCCTTATCCTGCGTCCCCAGGGAGGCTTCCCATCCACAGAGGGTAGAGGAAAGACTTGTTATTTAAACACCTGTAGATTTGTGGTTTCTGGGCTCTACAAACTTTGCATCTTGTGCTTGAGCCAAGTTGTATCTTTGAGCAATGCATGCMTGCCTGCCAGCTCCATGTGAGATAGCAGCCTTCAACAGAGCCTCTTCCTCCTCAGCTGGTGATGGGAAGGAGTTGCTCCCCAGCCCTGCCATCCSTGACGGGAGCCGGGAGCCGCTCCTCAGCATTGTCCTCTCCCTGGGGGGCTGCCTCCTGCCTCAGGACGCTCTTCACCTCTCCACAACCAGCCTTGCAGGCAGCACCACCAAGAACCTCCCCCGTTTCAGAGCCCTAATCTCTGATGCTCCTTGCCTGCAATAGCAGACGCGAAGTCTAAGCTTGTTGCAGCCGAGAATTCAAAACCGAAAGTGATTTGTTAACCCTTGTCCTTCAATTAAAAAAAAAGAAAGAAAAAAAAAAAAAGCTTGTTTTTTTCTTGGCCTCCAAACAGTCTATTTTCTTTCTTTTTCTTTCTTTTTTTTTTTTTCTTTCGGGTTTMCCTTTTCACTGGTGGAATTTTCTTGTACTGTATTTTCTCCTAGCAAATGGAGCACGTGTGGGAGTCACTTACCTCCCCAGAGGTCCACCCTTGGATTCTCCTCCATCTTCCTGCGCTCCTGGAGGCGTGGGCTCTGCACCGYTCAGTTTCACTTTCTGCTTCGCTCATAAGCAGACTTGTTCCCCCAGGGCTTGAGTGGCGGAGCACATCCCACCCTGCAGGCAGACACCATCCCTTCGGGGCCCCAGGAATTGCAGTAAGGACTGGAAAACAGATAAGCACAGAGCGTGATTGAGTGGAGAAGGAGGCCACTCCCTGCTGCACTTATCTGGCCGATGGGCGATGGGACTCTCCTACCCTGATGTGACTCTCCTACCCCATCCTCCGACAGCCCATCTCCAGTGCCAGCACCAGGCGATGGGGCCACGAGAAGCAGCCCTGTGTTTCGAGTGCTGCTCGGGAACCCCCAGATGGGGAGTCTCGGAGGATTTGGGCACTCTGGAAGTGGAGAGTTTCCCCCGTGCTCGTGTTTCTCTGTCACTGTAGCCTGGAGGTTTCAGGAGCACAGTGCTCACTGACCATCAGCCAGCGATTGTCAGTGACGTTGAAACACCAGAGAAACTTGCCCTGCTGGGGACCAGGTCCTGCAGATGCCTGTGAAACACAAGACCTCAATATCAAGGGGCTCTCCTAGCCAAGGGGGACACCTTCTGCCACACGATGCTGTCTCTGTAGCCGAATTTTCCTGCTGGCTAAGAGCTGGGGGTATAAACGCSGCCGGGCTTGCGTCCTTCCCGTCCCTCCCCGTGCTGGCTCCTGCTCGCAGAAGAAGGAAGTCAGAGGAGCAAAGTCACCGGGGGGGTCGGCGCTTACCGGGTGCTTTGGAGCCGGTCCAGGTGGCAGAGCCGAGCGGAGGGGCGATAAGAGGGGGCTGGCGACAGCACCACAGGCCCCGCGCCCGGCGGGGGCCAGGCACCCGCTTCCAGCCGCACACCCTTAATCCGCCGCTGTCAACGTGACAGTGAACTCTGTCCTGCCCGGGCCTGGGCAGGCTGCTGGGAGCTGTAGTTTTCCCTCTCTCCCGCTTTGCCTGAGGGAGCAGCAGTGACGTCAGCAGGCACGGYGCTCGCCCGAGCGCTTCGGAGGCCGCGCGGATTCCTTGGCTGCGTCTCCACTGCTCTGCGGTTGCGCAGTTTCCTTCAGGCAAAATGAATGGCCAGCTTTTCTTTTTTTCTTTTCCATGTTAAGTCATAGTGTTGCAGATCTACATAAATCTCACCAGGATTGGGGTGCAGTGAAGCTGGGCTGGAGCAATGGTTTTCCACAAAAATTATAACTGGCCTTACTGTGTGCATACATGGGACAGAGCCCAATACCCTGCTGGGGACACTGCAGGGGGACCAGTGGCTTGGAGCAGGGCAGGCAGGGTGGGAAGGCCGTGATGCTTCCAAGAGAGTTGTTACTTAGGGCTGCATAGGGAATAGATGGGCTTCTTCATGGGCAGTGGTGATGTGCCTGGTTTCCTGCCTCCTGTGGCCCTACCTGCTTCTCCAGCAATGAGGAAAGACAGGCAGCCACTGGGCTGATGGTGGCCAGGAGGGGACAGAGTCCACGTTCAGCAAGTTCCTTCATAATGACCAGCCTCGCAGTAGAGGACTAGAAATCCACGGGCCTGCAGGGAGATTATTTAAGGTGAAGGCAAGAGGAAAACATGGGTAATGTTTGGAGATGCTTGAGGATGCTCCATGCAGGTCACTGTGAAGCTGATGGTCACTGTCATTCCCTACATCCATCTGGGTGCTGTGCCACCGATCACCAACCCTCAGGCCTGGCTATCCAGACAACTTTCAACCCGCTTAGCAATCGCTTCCTCAAGCCCATACTTCCTTATTTCCAAAACGAGGTGCTCACAAGTTAATTGGATTATAAAGAACAAGTTTTCAAGTGCTATTTGTCTTTATCTAATTTCACTGTTTACATAAGGTAATCATTTAGCTACGCTCTTTGGAAGCCCCTGAATCGAGTGATACTGTTTCTATCTTAATTCCWACAGGTCACCTGGCAGATCAGACATGAGGAGCGACATCATCTGGCAGCTCTTGATTTGAATCAGAACAAGTAGTTGTACTTTGCAACCTTCTAATGAGGTATTTATTACAGCCTCCTGCATTTCTGCCGTAGCAAACATTGCTCAGCATCTACATCATGCTCACACATCCTAAGGGAACAACAACATTTACTCTCTTGCTGGTACACATGATGCATAATGTATCTTGCAAATATTTGCTTGCCTCAAAACAAATCTGGGAGATTTAATGTATTTATTGCACAGCATTAACAGCCCTTTTCATCCTGCGATGCGTATGCAGACAGGCTGGTCCCGGGGGCTGAAGGGCATCTCCCTCACGTGGGATGATTCAGGCTCGCATGTGCCAAGCCTGCACACGCGTTCCCGGCGTCCCGCCGCAGAAACACTGCTGCAGTGACAGTGGTTTTGGAGCACCCGCGGTAGCAGCCGGCAGGTTCAGTGCAGAGGCCGGGGTCCTCTCCTGCCATCCTGGTTTCTGGCAGGCGAAAAYGCTGTTGGAAATGCCATTTTCTCGCCCATTTGCAACCCAACTGCCTGCAGTTAGAAGAGGGAGAATAGGGAGTGCAGAAATGCAGCCTCTGGCTACAGCTTTGCAGCCGTGCCCCAGGCTGGGTAGTGTTAGGCAGGGGGACCTGGGTATGGATATCCTGTGTGGATATTCAGTGTGGATATCCCTGGTGTGGATATTCGTGGTGTGAATATCCTGTATGGATAACCTGCGTGGATATCCCTGGTGTGGATATTTGCAGTGTGGATATTCTGTATGGATAGGTAGTATGGATTCCCGGTGTGGATATCTCTCCAAGACGGAAAATGGAGCACATAGAAACATAGCCTCCAGCTTCACACTGGGGGCTCTGCCCTAGACTGAGGAGCGYGTGTGGAAACCTGGTGCAGATATTCACTACGGATTCCCAGTGCRGATATCTGCTATGGATTCCCAGCGTGGATATCCACTCTTGTGTGGAAAACACACACACACACACAAGAAGTTTGGGCTTCAGCAGAATACACACCATAAGTTTGTATCTTTCAGGAAAAAAAAGGAACCCAGACAAGTGGGAGACTGAGTGGAGTCAGGAGTGGGGGGGAAGAGACTGCGGGGAGCCTGGAGTGAGGGGGACACAAAGGAGTCAAGTGATCGCGTGGAGGGAAGCAGGGAGTTGGGTGTAGGCGGCTGGGCGGGCTGTAACTCCCGAGTACCTTGTCCAATGGGGAAAAGGAGAGGGCTACCACTGCCGGGAAATCAGGATAAAAAGGAGGCTGCGCACCCCAGCAACTCGAGAGATCCCACAGGGATATGCYCAGTGGACTCTCCCTTTATTCGAATAAAGTTTGGGGTCTCCTCTGTCTCCTTTTGGACATTCAGTTCTTGACAGCGGGATTTTTCCACACACTATGGATTCCCACCGTGGATATCCACTATGGATTCCCGGTGCGGATATCCCAGTCCAGCCACTCCCGCTCTGGACACCACGGGCACACACCTCCGCAGTGCGGGTACTCCAGCTGGGCCATGCCCGGGCAGACCCCCCAGCGCAGACACGCAGCAGGGCTGCAACAGGGCGCGCACATCCCCACCGCGGATACCCCCACAGGGGCGCCCCCACCCCGCGGGGCCCTCCCGCATCTCCTTCACTGAGGGCAGCCTCGGGCACCGGGGCCGCCGCCCAGCCCTTGGGCCGGGGGGCGGCCGCGCCGCGGACGAGCCCGCTCCCTCCCTCAGCGGCGGCGGGAAGGAGCACGGGGCCGCCATGGCGGCGGGCAGGGGCCGCGGCACCACGTGACGCGGCGGCTGCGCGCCATGGCGGCGCGGCGGAAACGCGGCGGGAAGTGAGGTGCGCGGTGCCGCCCCCGCCGCGGGAAGGCGGCAGCTTCAGTCGGCGCCGGGCGCGGCGGCCTCCGTGGCGGGAGGGAGGGAGGCGGCGGCAGCGGGGAGCATGGTGGGCGGCAGCGAGGGCCCGGCGGCGCCGGACGCCGCCGGGCTGAAGCGGCGGCTGAGGAGCTCGCGGCTCTCGATGCCGCTGTGGGCCGAGGCGGGAGCCGCTGCCGGCGACGCCGAGCAGGAAGGGCGGCGCGAGCGGATGAGCAGCGCCCCGCAGAGTGAGATGGAGCCCGCGGCTGGGCGCGCGGGCGCTGCCTCCCGTCGGGAGCAGGCGCGTTAGGGGCGGCAAACGGCGCCGTTAACGGCCGGGGGAAACGGTCACCGCGGGAAGGGCGGCGGGCCGGGGCCGCTGCCACCGGGGCAGCTGACGGGCAAGGCGAGGCCGCCCGCAGYGGCCTGGCTCCCCGGGGAATATCACCTGCTTTTAGTTTCTTGCACCTTTACTCTTCTGTTGTTATTGTTGTTATTAAGCTTCTTGTYGTCCCTCGTGTGATTTCTCTTCCGTTTTAGTGAATGAGCTTTCCTTTGGAAGCCCTGACTCCTTGGTTCGGCCCCCCATCAGGAGAGCACCCAAGCTGTCAGGTGAGCTCCGGTTTCCCACCTGGAGAAGCTGTTGCCGGCACTGCGCTGCCTTGTGAGGATGCTGGGGGGGGAGGTGGAAAAAAAAAAAAGGGGGGGGGGAAACCCAACCAAGTTTATTGGGTTTAGGCACATTTGCTCATCTTGACCCAACCCAGCCGTGCAACTCCAGATTTAGAAATTTGTCATTCCATCAGTAATGCGCAAGCAAGTCGCCTTCATTTCCTTCCTTTTTCTGTCTCTTGGTTTCCRTTGTGTTAAGCAGAGTTTGGTGCTTCCCAGACGGGTGGACTGGCCTAATTCTGACAGAGCTCCTGTTACAGCTACAGTGTATGGCCTATAGTACACAGTATTGTGGTTAGGCTTTGCTGATATGGGTAAGCAAGAGCATCATGCTTCGGTTTTAAAACTTCCAGGAGATGTAAAAGAATCTCTCCTTGAGGAAGAAAGGAAGAAGATGTGTATATTTTAGGGGGGGAAAGTAAGATATCAATAGCAGCCTATGTGAAAACAGGAATTATCACAACTAGTTAGTTCATAAAACTGTACTGTTGTTGTATTGTTGTGGGAAGCAGTTGCCCCCAAGTGAAGGCTGCCGTAGCCCTAACATGCTTGTTATGATAAACGTTTCTGGGCTGTCTCATGAGGTGTATTAGAGTGTTTTTTCTTCTTCTGTCATACTAAAAAATGAGGGGGTTGAGAGAGATGCCAGAATTTTAACCAACGAAGTTTTGCCAGGTATGGTCCGTGAAATTCTATTATATTGACAATAGGTGTAAAGATAGAATGTTAAGAGACCTTATTGCCTTATACAGAAGTGAAGGAACAGAAGAATGACTTTTCTCACAGTCCTTTTATTGAAGTATAACAGTACTTTTTTATTTTTTTCCCTGGAGAATTTAAGGAAGAGCAATGAGACTGGGGATTTTTGCAAGGGCTTTCAGTTTCTTTGTGTGTATTCTTTCCTGAGAACAGAATGTAAAAAACAAACCACAACTTGAAAACCTCATTTCCAACTCCTGCTTTGAGGTTTAAATATGAATTAGGAAGTTTGCTTCCAAAGTTTAAAGAACCATGTTAAAAAACCATGTCACAAGTGAGGCAGCTTCTAGATGGTAGAAAATGCACGAGAAATCTCTGTTCTGACAGGATTGTGACTCTATATGTGAAAGGCGTGAGCTAGATGTTTTTGGCTCTTGAATTTATGCAATCTATAGTGGAATGGAATATAAGTTCATACATGTTGCATGCAGTCTCATCTTGGTGTTGGAAGAAGACTGAACCAATAAGGCTAGGGCTGTACTGGACTTCAAGAGCGTGCAGCTCTAAGTTAAAACAGCAGCTTTGTATTTTGGTTTATTGACCTTTTAGTATTTCATGGTTTTCTAGTCCCTTTGATTAAACTGGGATATGAAACGGGGATAAATCATTCTCTCTTGACAGATGCCTGTGTGGAAGGGAGGTGGCAGGTAGATTTAAGGTGGATTAATAAATTCTGTAGTTCATTGGGAGGAGGAATAATACTTTTGGTGGCAGGCTGAAGGTCTTGTAACTGCAGTGTTTGTTTTTGAAAGGTAAAGTTCATGAGCAGAGAGTTTATTTTTCCCTGGAAAGGGTGCCATGCAGGCAGGCTGCTGCACTAACAGTCTTCCTCTCTGCTGGAGATATCTGCTGTTAGTAAATGAAATAAAAATTGCTGATTAACAGCCTGATTTCACGTGTGAAATAAAGTTGAGTTTGTTTACATCTTTCCTGCTTGCAAAGACTTTCTTTGGGAGGTGCAGAGTACTGACTGATGCAGAAAGGGGGGCAGGAATTAGTGTGGAGTGCAGGAGTAGCTCTCTCTAGATGCATACATCTTTTCAACCTCCGATTACCAGCTAACACCACTAGTGAAATATTCTTGCARAACCTCTGTGTGTTCTGGAATATGGCTGTATTATTTGGCATTCTTGAAAATTGAGTAAATGGGTTAGTATTTTTTTTTCCTTGACTTATTAAGAAATTACAGTTGCTATCCAGTTGTTTGGAATATCTTTGAAAATACAGTATCCCCCTTAAGAACTTGCAGTTAAGCTAAGCCACAGGTAAAACAGTAAGTTAAAACATTTTGTTTCTTTTTTTTTTCTTTGTGTGCTTCGTAACCACTGGCATGCCAAAGGTGCCAGAACATTTTCTAATCAGATTGTTTTATTTTCTTGAGGGAAAATAATAAACACTAGGTGGCAAGATGAGTGTTGTTTTTCATGTGTGTAGTATAAGAGCTATAGGAACATTTTAAGCTACAGGAGAACCCTGTACTGTTAAGGAATACAAAAAGTGCCCAGTGTGGGTATCACAGAAAAAGCGTTATCGATTGTCTTCTTCTGTTTGGACTTTCTTCTGTTCATGCCCTCAGCTTGATCGTTCTGTCATGACGTCTGTTCCGCAATTGTGCTACAGCTTTTATCACATACCTGGACTTCTTGTTGCTTCCCCCCYGCTCCATGAATCTGGGCAGCCGTATGGTTGCACTTTATCCTCTCAAACCTTTTCTCGTGATTCTCCACTTCTGACKGGCTTTTCAGCCCCGACCTTTGCTCTGAAGCTCCTGTTAGCTTTCTGGACTTTATTCTTTCTAGATAGTAACGTGAACTAAGATGAGTTTTAGGGTCTAAATGACTGCATAATTTGGGAAGCAAACTAAAGGTATTATTTGTAGCGGACTTGATTTTCCTTTAACCTTTCATTTTATAGTCACTTTTGAGGGCTAATCCCCACGGTGACCCTTGGGAGATTATAACTTGAAAACCCTTGGTTTAGTTCATAAGTGTCCTAAACAGTGTTCTGGTCCTTTAGTTGTTATTGACAGCAAATACTGTTCAAATCCTTTTATACTGAACAAATCCTTTTATACTGACTATACTAATTCTTTTTATCTCCTCAGATAGTCCTTCAGCTTCCTTCCTTCCAGAGCAAACAAAAAAGGAGAAGACAGAGATTGATGACAGCGATGAACCTGAAAAACCATTAGGGCATCAGTCAGACACTGATACACTGTTAAAAGGTAACAACAGGTTACCTTTGATACCTTTTTTTATGATAGTRTGATTTGTCTTCACTTGGTGCGGATTTGGCTTGGGTTTTGGCTTGTGTATCTTGATCTAAAGGAAAGAAAATCTGAATGAGACTTTATAATAAAAGTTATGTCTCTCGGCTCAGTTTTTAGTTTTGAAAGTAACAAATGTGGTRCTTCTAAAGAGAATTCAGTGTCAATGCTGCTAATTCCTCATTCTTTGTATTTTAATTTATTGCCTTTAAAAAGGGGAAGAAACACTAATGCTTGTTAAGTCTTCTGTCTGCAAAGGAGTCTGAAACTGTTGTATGAAGCAGATTTGGTTTGGTAGTTAAGGTAGCTGTGACTATTTCTCTGACAATCTTCTGAAGAATTCGCAGAAAGAGCTAAACACGTTTATGGCTTGTCTGTCTTTTTCTAACTCTGTTTTTGCTCTGATTTCAGAAAGCAGTGCTGACTTCATTGAGAAAAAGAAAGAGCACCACTTGCCTACATTACAAAGTAAGTGGAAAAGCAAACACTTAATCTTTGTCTGCCCCTAAATGAAAAGTGAGCTAATAAAAAAAAAGCCAGGTTAAAAGGTACTTTTCCTTTCCTGTGCTTGCATTTTTCTTGTGCCTTACAGCACTTCGCTCGAGAAGTTGGAGATAGACAGATAGACCAGGGAAGCAGACCCAAATAGATGAATAGGTGAGATGGAGACACCAGTGTATATAAAGCCAGATCCTCCTATGAAGTTGCTCACCTTGCAGACCCAACAGAAAAGAGTCCACTTTTTTCCTTCCTTTTTTGAGGCATGGTAGTTAGGGATGAGTTATATGGCTGAGTGAAGAATTTGGAAAGTTGCTTTAATTTGTAAGTTTTAGTGTGTCTACAAAAGTGCCACGTTGGAGTTCAGTAAGACTTGTTTGGTCTATAAGGAGCTTGTGTTCCAAGTAGGCAATGATTTGTAGACAGAGCAGGATCTCCATGAGACCATTTGTTGAAATATTTTATTTACTTTGTGTGAATTACTGATTTTTTCGGAATTGCGAAAACTAGTGCCTCTAAACAGGCAAAATACCACAGATGCTAATCTGTTAGTTATTAGAACATTTACTTGAGATTAGCTAGTTAGAAGTTCAATATCTGTGCTCTATCAAGGGRAAAAAATGGGAAGTGGAGTAGTTCTATTCAGTCAGTTAAGCTCTGGCTTTAAACCAGAGCTGCTTTTAGCACCTGAGTGACTATATTCATACAGAAACAAGGCTGTAGATTTATTTTGGTGTTGAAATAATTGCTACAGGGCGTGATTGTCRGTTTATTCTTGATAATATCATTGACAACATCCTCTTTGGTCTAAATTTTAATAAAGTGCCTTCACTGTTGAGCTATTTGCTGTAGTTCTTGTGTGTTTTTTAATTGACCAACTAAACGTGGAAAATATCCTGACCAATAATTCCACTATATGTATKCATACAGGTCTCTTGGGATAGGGAAAGCTGTTCACAACTTTTCTTAGGGATAATGTCTCTACTATCTTGCTGTCTGACCCCATTTAAATAAATAGCCCAAGAATATATTTTCAGTTGGAGGTTTGTATTTTGCTGTAAAAGCACAATTCATCCCAGTAGACTGACTGCCAATAAAACAGGCGTCTGATCCCCAGCTGGCTGGAAAGGAGATATGAGACTGTGCCTTTAAAATAACATGGTGCTTTTGCTACTTAAATCTTTCATAGTGCTATTTTCCTAAAATATGCATCATGTGAGCTTCCATTKTCCGCCGTCCAATTTCTTGAACAAAATTGAAGACCTTAATCAGTCAGGGGTACTCCTGTGTAGAAAAAYATGCAAGTTGCCCACCTTTTGCCAGGCTGTCATCTTGGACCTCAGTTTTCACTTGTGTAACTCTTGAAGAGTTAAAAATCATTAAGGGGCAATCTGTGATCAGTTGTAGAATTTAATAGAGTTTTTGTAGAGTTTAGTATGTAAAAGCCTGCCTGAGCTAAGCTACTAAACTAAACTGAGCTATTACCAAGTGTAAAGTAAAGGAGTTCTGTGATTTCAATATCATGTTAAACTCTCTGCTGGTGCGTTGATTAGAACTCTTATATATTACTGTCATTTTCCTCTCTTAATCTTTTAACAGACAGAATTAAATCTCAAGATTTGCCCAGCRTAGGGAAGCAGCCACAGCATTCAGCCAAAAGTAAGACTTCTGCTTTCACTTCTGTTTTATGTTTGTGTTATCTTTAACCATTTTCTTGCCTGTCCAAGTACTAGATTTCTTGGTAGTTAGTGTTAAACTGAAGGTCCCTGCCTAAGCAGGATTTGTTCCCCACGGTGTGTGTTATCAGCACTAAGGAAATAAGTAATGCTTCTACATGAGTTCAGGTCTTCCATATGCAGTGCTTACAAATTTGCAGCAAGATTAAAATTGAGGCAGGCCTAGTGCTATTCTTATCTAACAGCTGTTTTGCTGTTCTGCTATAGGTTAGGATAAAAAAAAAAAAAAGTGTAAGATTTGTTTTTTCCTCTGTTTCCAGGAAAATTATTAGTGTTTTGCCACTGAAATTGCTGGTAACAGAATTGGTACTTAGACCTCAAAGTAGGTCAAATGAGTGTTAATTTAATTGTTCAAATATAAAATCAAACCATGTGTAGTGTTGACCTCCAGCATTTAAAATGCAAATACTGGTGCAGAAAACATTTTCATATACTTAATGGGATAGGGAGAAGAAATAGCACCACATAAACCATTCTGGTCATGCCAGGTTTTATATTGGTCTGCTTCTTCCCAGCTGAAATGTGCAAACCTACCTGACCTTTTTCAGAACCGTTTTAAGGTGTTAGTTTGTGTTTGATTTAATAAAGGGTAGATACTGATAAAATTTCAGATGAACCGTTACAGAAAAATGTGCAATTATTTTGTCATTTGYAGAAATATTTACTTTTTAATGCTATCACTTCTCTATGTTAATAAAGAAGCTGAAAGCTTTTGGTTTTTTAATTAGAATATCTTCTGTATTTAGCTACTATACTGATAGCTCATGGTAGTAAGATGAGTTCAATTGACAACCTCTGATTTGTCTTTTTTTGCTCTTGCTTGTTGTTGTGTGATTCATTTTAAAAACACTTCTTTTTTTTTCTCCCTGTTTGATCCTCCTTTCTATAGGCACTGGTGGATTGCAGAGTGGATTTCACAAAGTCTGGCCTTTGTTACTGCTTATTCCGTTAATTAGTATCCCGTTGTTTTGGGCCCTGTGGAGTGCAATGCCCAGGTTTCTAGACACAGCTTTGTCAAGTAGAGATATTCAAATTCTCCAAGCGTTTCGGGCCCAGATGAAGAAAATCAAAAATACTTACCAAAGTCAGGATCCCTATTTATGGAAGAGAACACACGTGTTCCTTGAGAAACACCTCAATGCTTCCCATCTTCATTTGGAGCCGGCTGTTCTGCTGCTCACAGCTGGCCAAGAAGCTGAGAAGGCTCTAACGTGCCTAAGTAATGAGATTGCAGATGCTTTGGCCTTCTCTCAGAATGCTACCGCAATCAAAATTAACGGGGCAGACAAAGCTGTACTGGACAGCGATGTTGTTAAGTTGGAGGTAGATGATGAGCTCAGCTCTGGATTCAAAGGAGGCAAGAAGGTAGCAGTAGTGCATCGATTAGAGTTACTGCCTGCRGGCTCCACCTTAATCTTTTACAAGTACTGTGACCATGAAAATGCGGCGTTTAAGGACGTGGCTCTTCTGCTGACAGTTCTCCTGGATGAACAGTCTCTGAGAAAGAGCCTGAGCCTGCAAGAAGTTGAGGAGAAAGTACGAGATTTCCTCTGGAGCAAGTTCACTACTTCAGATGCTCCAAGTTCTTATAAGAACATGGACACAGATAAACTGAGCGGACTTTGGAGCCGGATATCTCACCTTGTCTTGCCTGTTTGGCCTGAAAAGGGCCTCCCTGTGGAAGGATGCGCGTAAGTTGTTGAAGGAGGGTCAGGAAACGAGGAGGACAGAAAACGTGTGTTGTAGTGGCTGAACGGGRCAGAGCTTCCTACAGCTGCTGAGCTCAGGCAACACATAGCCCTCTCTATACAAGAAAATCTATCCAACCATCACTTTTGTTTCTGCTAAAGCAATGGGGACTTTCTAAACTGCATAATGTGAGAAAGGAGCATAGTTCTTGGTAAGTTGCATTTGGTAACATTTCCAGGCTGAGCACCTGGAGTTGAAATAGGAGTMCCCTGCTGCAAATGATTCTTCTGCCTGAAAAGCCATCTGACTTTGCCCTGAGGATCTCTTCTAGTGGTGGTACATGCCAGTATTGAATATGACAAGGTAATGGAGTGAAAAAGCTTGACTTCATCTGACAGAGTTGGTTTCTTTGCTGTYTAGGACATTTAATGAATTGAAAATGATGGTAAAGTAGTAGGAGTTCAAGCACAAGSTTTTTCTTGGCCAGCTGACCACAACATAGCTGATAGCTGTCTCTGGAGACTTTTAGAAAAGGCAAAATTGCCCAAGAAATCTGTGATCTGTACAGAACCTTTCAGCAAGGACTTTTTTTTCCTTAAATGAGCCTGTCCCAAGCAGTTTTGGAGACTGAGAAAAGCTGAAGTACAAAGGATTGCCTGATACCAGTAGTAGACATTAGCCAAATAATCCCTCAGCGCCTCTGTCTTGTTGCTGCCAGGAATTTTCTTTGTCAAGTTTTTTAAATCTTAACTTGGAGGAAAAAATGATAAATGTTAGCCGTGTGTGTGTGTGTGTGTGTGTGTGTGTGTGTGTGYGTGCTGAAGCCTTGTTGCATCCCCTTTCCACAAAGAAAAATTTAGGGAGACGGAGGTTATTTCTCACTTTAGTAAGATGACTATTTTTGCATCAAGAGGATTTATTTATTTGTGGTAATCATATCCTATAAAACAAAACAACCCTTTTCATGCATCTGTACATAACTGGCTGCTTATTATAGGAAATTTTAGTGAAGGGCARATTTGCATTGCCTATGTCTTAAAATATATTTTAGGCACATCAAACTTTAAAAGAAAAATGCTGTCCTATTGTAAATATTCTGGGTGTATATATAAGCAAATAGTAGCACTTCCATATCCTTGCTGGTAGTGTATGCTCTTAGTCCGTGTGTGTTCAGTTTTCATGTGCACGAAGGAACGYGTGAAGACTGGTCTCAGATTAGGGGAATGTTTTCCCATAACAGATGAGGGATTAGTGGCTCTTGGACATATCCTTTATGCACAAGGCTCCCCTGAGCTCCCCTGTTGTCAGCATCCTTCTTAGGCAGGAGGCCTCTCGGAGGTGCTGGAGCTGCACAAAGGGTTTTGTTCTGACCACTGAGAGACAAAAATGTGCCGTGCTTTTTATTTTCATGTGAAGAAACGGCAAAGAGACATGGAAATGCTGCTGTTCTAGATGTTTGATGATCGCTCAGGAAARGAGAGATGGCATTTACATTTTAGACATTTCACTGGACTAATGTTTTGTTTGAAAATGTGACTTATTTCTGAGTATATACTCATAGTATACTTGTTTGTACATTATCTAAGCTATTTTAGTAATCATTAAAAATCTACTTGTTTTATAACTTGTTTTAATATTTGCCAATTCTATATTTAGTGGGCAGGTTATTTTTGTTTAGGTGTTTAAGACTGTTTTGTTCAACTTTGATCAAATATAGACATGTAAAATATAAGGCTTAGCAGCTTGTAAAATTTCTTAGGAACTTGAATATGAGATAGATATTGGGATGCAGATCTTTGGTACCATCAGGGCTTCTTTCTAACTAGCCACAATTCAGGAAATTGTAATAGTTGGGAATTTCTTCTTAGTCTGTGTTCTTATACTGCTCCTCAGTTCTGATTTCGATGGAAATAACAATAAGATACTGTTCATCATTAGTATGGTACAGATGTCAGCAGTTGGCAAAGGAGATTACTCCATTCTTGCTCCCCTCCTAGATGTGTGCTCTTGTACCACTACTGTGCCAAATTAGCACACTGTGAGCTGGCTGCAGGGACAGATTTTACTGAAAATTTAGCTCAGGAAAAAAGGATATACTTGGCAGAATCAGCAACCACTGAGAAGCTGTGACATCAAGGCAAGAGATTCCATACTTTTATAGTAATAAAACATATATAATCCAGGTTATTTTATATTTCAAAACTATCCCGCTTAAGAGATTTGTGAGTGTGAGAGGTATGTTCCACTATTTTAAGATAAAACAGGAAGGTCACTCAAAACTAAAGCCTTARTTGTCTATTTAGTGTTGTGTCAGATTAGAGTTTTATGTTATTTTATGTTAACTCTAGGGAAAGTAAAGTGTATTTCCAAATATACTTTGAGTCTAGAAAAAAATAAACTAAAAGCAAGATACTGCGTAGCTGTTTTGCCCCATCTGGAGAAGTGTGAACCCTAGGATTAGAAGACTGTAGATCTCGCTGAAGAAGCGGGTCCTCTTTGTAGCCTCCTTGGGCTTTGTTCTTAAAAGGTGTCTGCAGGTGCATAATGCAGCTCTCATTAAGCACCTCCTCCTCAGCCAGAGGTAAACAGGAATACCTGTCTGTGTTGCTCTAAGGCAGCCACTTGCTATCCTTGTTGTTGCATCATTGCTTGCAGCAAACAGCCATTGGATGTACAGCCTTTGGGTAGAAACATTTTTGGGGAGCAAAACCAGTTGAACTTCAGTTTTTACTCAAAATGCTTTGATTGATGCTCTTAATCACAGTGCTTATTTTCCAGTACTTGGCAAATGAGTTCCTTGAGAATTTCTCCTGGCAACATCCTTGCTGTGAGCAGGAGTGTTACTGTAAGGGGGGTTCAAGAGCTTTGAGCTACTTTAGCATTACCTTTTCAGAGAATAGTCTAGGTGAAAAATTGAGACAGTACAGACAACCACTGCTAGAAAACAAAAGAGCCATGATGTACGGCACGCGTAACAAGAAGTTTCAAATCTCAAATATAGAAAGAAATGTACRTGCTGAGAGTCTGAAGATAAGGCTGAGTCTGAAATGTGCCATGAGGAAGAGGACTGGAAAGTGTGGTGCCATCCTGATGACAGGAAGTCGAGGCACAGATCAGTCCATTATTTTCAACAATGAATGCATGTGTTAATGGAAATATCAAAAAAAAAAAAAAAACTTTGTCATGGTGTGTTGAGGAGTGACAAATCTATTGTCTTCTTTGCTTTCTTCATGGATCTGCTGAGGATTTTGGCCTGCTTGTTCCAAGGTGAGATGTTTAGGAACAAGAACTGGGGTGTTTGTCCTGGTTTCCTAGGTCACCCAAAATGCTGCTGCTGCTGCMAGCAGACGCTGGGCGCCAGGCAGAGTCACAGCCCTGCAAGTATCCAAAGCAGGAGGTGCAGCATGGTTCTGCTTTCCTGGGTGCTGCTGTCACCTTTGTGCAGCTACGGAGTGACGATACCTGCTTCGATTTTAGTAGTAAATGACATAGAAAGAACCTAGAGGTGTGTGCAACTTCATCTGTTCTACCTGGTCTTTCACACCCTGCACTGTTTCGATGCACCGAGCAAAGAGGAATTCGGAATATGCTTAAAAGGTTGGTTTGAAAGATTTTTTTTTCTTCCTTTACAACAAAAGCACTCTTTTTTTCTTCCATAAATTAAAAAAAAAGTGGATTGGGGATGCTCTTTTGATAAATTATTCTGAAGTGGCAGAAGATGTAGGTCAAGCTGGGTACAAAAGGCAAACTGAACTCCATGTTGGGATAGGTACACAAGTACCTGCTATCAATGGTACATGCTTAACRAATCGCAGCTATACTCATCATCTGTAGTGCAATTGCCTTTATAGCGTATTTAGAAAAACACACAATTTCGGCAGTATGTAACGATCATGAACAGATTTGGTGCTGAGGTCCTGTAGCACAGACGCAAAAGTCTGAGGACAAATTTGGAAATCTGGACTTAGTGCTCTGTAATGAGGCTTTCTACTCCCAAATCATATGCCGTGAACTTTTTTTCTTTATGTTATTATAACGCAAACTGCAAGGTTGTGGGGGTGTGCAGGAGAAGGGGGAGGGTTGCAGTTCCCACAGCTGTCGGGTGTCCGGTTTTATTGTCAGCCCCTGAGAGTAGGGCTTATGACTGAATGCCTGGACAACCTCATGCCATGTTTGACAGGTGGAAGCACTTCCCCCAGTTCCCCAAATTCCTCAGTGGCTCTCGGGACACATGTCAGTCAGGGAAGCAGGAGGGAGAAGCTGGCTGCTCTTTTGGCTGCAGTAGCCAGCTGCCCCTTTCTAATTTTGGAAGGGGTGTGCAAGGGTGGTATGGAGTGGAAAACTTCCCAAACCTCTCTCTGAAAGCAGCAATAGCCAAGTTAGCGTAAAATGAGCTGGTCATTGAGCTTGGCTCKCAAGCAGCGTCCTCAGACCATGCTGCAGCGTCTTCGTTGTTCTGCAGTCTAATGACCAGTTCATCAGCTTGGAATGGAGCTTGATTTTTTGGTCCTCTTCTCCAGGCATTTTTGCTCACAGGTAAAACCGTTTATTTACTTCTAACGAGAGCAAATTTCATRAGAAATGTTTCTCTTCTGCTTTGTGTGAGCTCTGCCTTTGAGAGGTTTATGCCTATTTGTAAGGCATTTTTAAAAGTCATCTAGAGTTTTAATGATGAAGTGGCATTGACWGATGCAGAAAATATCTGAGAGCCATGTGGAAACAAAATCAGAGCAGACAAACATTGCCTTTAATTTTACTGACTGAAAATAACAACTTTCTTGTTTGAAAAAAAAAAAAATCCTAATATGATGCCTTATTTTCCTGAAGATGAAGGGGATGAACTAGATTAACTGCTTCAAAGCAAAGAGAACCTATGTTTAAAAGCATAATTAAAGAGGGAATGCATTTTGAAAGTACTGAATAATTTAAACGGTCTGCCAAACCAGCAATATTAAGCAGTAAATTTAAGCAAACACTAGGTGATGATGGGAATGTAATAATTTAAATTGTTCTAGTCTGCAATCAGGGCTCTTATGTTGTGGTAATAATRCTTTTGCTGATTGAAATTGCCATTATTATTACTAACAAACTCTGCATTTGGGAGGAGCAGGTTTACTAGCAGGCTAGTGGGAATAAGGTACTGCTTATGCATGCCTCCAGTGGGGGAAAAGAAGTGGTGCTTGTTGGTCTTTGTATTTTTTTTCTAGATTACTTTTTCTATTTTTGTCTAGCAAAACAAGATTGCTTTCCAAATTTTAACYGCTGACATCTCAAGCTTGCCTCCCTTTTGGAATGGACTATGCTTACTCTGGGAAATACACACTCTGTAATTAGTTTGTGTATGTAAAGGAGCCAAATTAAGTTAAACGAGTACCCTGTAATTTTACCATGATTAAGATCCAAGCTGCTTATGCTTGGGATAGAAAAAGTCCGCTGTGTGCAAGAAGGGCAGCAATATGAAAAGTAATTTTTTATATATATATATGTACACATGTATATAGTTTAACGGAAACTTGCAGAGACTTAACGGTGAGAGCATTAAGTTTCCCCTAAAAATTAGGGAAAAAGTAGAAAACCCCGTTTCTGGGAGGGGTTTTGGGCGCAGGGAAGATCCCACCGCGCCCAACATGGCGGCCGTCGGGGGCGAGCGGCGCGCGCCCGGGCGGCGCGGCGCCGCCATGTTGGGAAGGTCCGCGGCGCGCCGGCTCTCGCGAGAGCCGCGGGGCCGCCC